TTCTTTCGACTCGTAGAGTCGCGACGATTGCGTCTGATGCAGCTTCGGACAGAGTTTCCATGCTGTTGACACGCAAAAATTGAGTCATGCACATGTAGCACGCGTGACCCAGCGACGCATCCACTCTTCGATTGCGTATCACGTTCGTGAAGTCGGTTACCTCAGGTTGCGAAGAGAGCACGTCGCGTCGTCGACATACGAGTACCAATAGTCCACGAATCGCATCAATTTGTCGGTCACTTCGGTCACGTTGCGAAATGCGTCGAACACGTTCATAGTCGTTAACAAACGGCGTTTCGCACATTCCGGATTGATATCAGCGCTCTGATATATCATATGAAATTGATCGTGCACATTGCGCCTAACGAGCGTCTGTCCCGAGCACAAATTGCTTGGTCGGCGGTCAGAGCACGGCGTAACTTTCGGACGATTGCGATTGAAATTCGAGCGGTAGCACGTACGCGTTCATCAGTTTGACGAAACTGTGGAAGGACGTTTGTGAACGTGAGAGCATTGCGCCTTTTGTCGTTACGAGCGTTTGTTTCGCTACGAACGAATTGGTCCCGTTGTCGCAGTCGTCGATCGCGGTGATATTGATCGCTGCGTTGTTGGACCGTGGTTGTCTTCGTTGCGATGATGTTTGTTGGACACTGTCTTGATGTTAATACGTCACGCTCGACGGTGTTGCGGTCGCGTTAGTATCGGCGAACACGGTACCGTGGCGCAACATATTCAGCGTGTCCACAGCATTTTGCACGTCGTAACCCTCGCGAATCAATTGAGCGGTAAGCGCGTCCTCGGTCCGATGTTGGGTGTTGCCCTCGATGTCGATCGAATCACTGGCGAACAACGATGGCATATCGCGACCGCTGTCTCGCGGTTGCTGTCGCAACGCCATTGACGCGTCGGTCGATGGTGAGAAGTCCATCGTTGCGACTGACGATCGCGATGACTGATTTGTAGCACTCGACCGATGCTTTATATACCGATTCGCGAATCTTCCCCTCTTTTCTCGGTACTATGAAATCGCGGGGCTCTGGTCATTTCGGAGAGACAACATCGAATCGCGACGGATCGTTCCTTCGTTAAAGCGGTTCATGTCGCATTTCGACGATGTCTCAGCGTCGTCGGGGAGCGCGTCAACGCGGCGAGAATACTAGATGAAACACTTGCGTCTTGTCGTCGAACGCGTTCGGGTAGTCTGTTTTGATGCGTTCTTTGATCTTGACGACCATATCGCGGAAATTTTTTCGCGACACGTGTCCGGTTTCCTCGACGAATTCGCGCAGAAACCGATACAGATCGCTATCGCGCATCGTGACGGTGGAGTCCTCGCGAATACGGTACCGTTGCAGCAGGGACTCGAACGGATCGATCATCACTTGCAGATTTCGAGCATCTCGCACCATGGCGTCCGGTAGTTCGTCGATCAGCACCGGACCTTCCAATTTTTCGCCGGCTGTTTCACGAAAGATACGCACCGATCGTCGGCGCATTTTGGCATCGCGTTTCATCGCCGTTTCGTAGATGCGATCGCGCGACGACGTCGGATCGTTGAAAGCGGGCATTAGCAGACAACTGGGCAGAACATTGTCAATTTGCGACGTCGTCGTGAGTTCGATCGTTTCGCACTGTCGAATCCGTCCTCGTCCGACGCGGATTCTTTCTCGGATGATGTCGAAGACGGCGCTGATGATTCGCTCGTGTCGTCGCGATAGCGAGCATTGGTTATTCGACGTTTGTTCGCTTTGGCGTACATTAAACCGATACGGTCGCTCAGATGAAGCGCCAGCATGCGACGAAACAGGGCCAAACCGTTCATCATTGATTCGAGACGCGCCTGGATTCATCGTTCAATTCGGTTCGTTCGCCGCTGACATATCACTTCGGCCTGGCGCGCGCCTATAGCGTCGTACAGCGCGTATGTGGCTGTTGTGCGTGCACGTATCGATACCGTAGTCTCCATAAGCGAGAACAGTCCGTGCGAAATCCGGGAAATTGACCCCTTTGGCGAAACAGCGAGTGGCGAACTGATACGACACGCTCGGTTTGGCGTTCGTTTGACGAAATCCACCGCGGTGTCGTTTGACGACTGTGCAGAGCTTTGAAACGGTGAACCATTCGCAGACAGAATTTCAGTCGAGTGATCACACCGCGTCGCTGCGCAGCGATATCGCGTCGTTCACGGTCAGAACAATTTTGCTAGATTGCGCAGATTACTGCGTCTTGCTGCTGATGAAAGTTAGCGGCTCTTCATCATGGTTGTGGATATTAGGTTCTTGAACAGTTCCGCGTTCATTCGTTTCGGGCTCGTCGGCTTACAAAACGTGCGAGCGCATCATGCTCATCAGATCGGTATTTACCTCGTCCTTTATCCCCTGGCGCAGCGTAACGTTGCTCAGAGTGCCGCTGAGCACACTGGAGAATATCGGCGCTCAGCACCTCGGACACGAATTCGCTCTTGCCGCTGTCGCTGGTCCCTTGCAGCGAGTAGCACAGTTTTCAAAAACTGGCCTGGAAATCGAATCGCCGTAACGTATCGCAGAAAGAACAACACGTTGGTGTCGCCTCGAGCGAATATGTGCAGAGTCACGATAGTAATGCTCATACTGTACGCTGTCATTCGATACGTAGCGATCCTCTGGTGCGGACGTCACGTAGGCCGCTAAACCGTTCGCCAGCGAATTGGTATCGTACGAGTGTATGTTTCGCTCGGAATACATACGACACAGAAATCGTAACACTCGTCGAACAGATCGCATCTAAGATCGGTCAATTGAGCGAATGCGTTTACACGATGATTCGCTCTGTCCGTTAGACCGTACCAAACGTCGTTTCGCTCGATCGCTGTTTCATCGTTATCGAGGCGAATGAACGCGACGCGTCGTTCTCTCTCTCGCACCAAGAGAAACAAATACGCGGCCGTGATATTCACCATCACGTTGTCGCTGTTGCTGTTGTTTTCGCGCGATGACGATATCCATCGTGCGAGTTTCGGTACGTGGCGTGATCTCGCGCAAAACTCGTACAATCGCCACAAGCACAGAAATTGCAAGTAGCGTTCAAACTCCGACGCGATCGGTCGTGATCGTCGTCTTCGCTGTTACACCGTGCATCGAGCGACGATTCTTCGTTGGTGCGTTCGTGTCGTCGAACGACGGTGGAACGACGAAACTCCGGGACGATGACACGAGTCCCGTAGATTCGTGTCTCTCGTGGAGTCCGAATCGATCGTAGTCTCGCATTCGTCATCGCGAACATTATTCCGTTGATATCGAGCGTCAATTTTCGACGATACTTTCGCAATTCGTTCAACAGCACTTCCTGATCAGTGAGACGACGATCGACAGTGGTCGCGGTTGTCGCTATGGAATCGCAACGCCCGTCTGTTTCGCGATTCCCTCGATCCGTGAAGGAGAACGAGCGTCGCATTCCGTCGAGAACGAAGCGTCGTCTCGGATTCGACGGTGTGCATTGCTGACGGACGCAAGAAGCCGCGACGTCGCCGCGAACGGAATCCCGAGCCCAAGCGTCGACGAGTTTCGTCAGTGCACCGTCGGCTCTCTCGTTCTCTCTTCCGAGAACACGGATCTGCAGCCCAAACGGGGCGTAGAGCACGTGCATCATTGCGCAGTCACGCCATTTAACGTGCGTGACGGCTGATTTCCAATCAATACGAGCATAATTCGTAAGCACGCTTCGAACCGCGTAGCAAATGATGACCGAAAGCATAGCCAGATTTCAACATCGTATCGCGAACATTTCGCGCGAAACGATGCGAAGTTGAGCAAAAACCGTTTCGCGCATCTTTCAGGCTCATGTCCTGGTAACAGATTCGCAGATTGGCCACTTCGCATTAACGAACGGACAATCGAACTGATGCAATATCACGACAGCGAACGGTGTCTCATCGTTATCTTGTCGTTCGAGCGGCTCGTCCGGACCGTAATCGAGACTCGCTCTTCTGCGTTTTTCCGACGCTCTCTGCGGGTCTCGATGCCTCCGCAGATCGATCGAGCGACAAAAGAGGAAGGACGCTATTGCGTTCGAACGTTCGCTCGAGCTCGCTCCTACTACCAGTATCGAGTGAAAATAATATTCATTGTGTCCGCGAACACACCAGAGCGAATAATCGCGCGTTCGATGCATGTGCACGGAATCGATTCAATTGTCGACGACACTTCGTTCAAGCGATACATCCTGTGGCGGATTGCAAGTCCCCTCGAGTTATCGTAGCGTGCCGAAACGCTGGTTCTCCAGTGAATTGTTGAATTACAGGTTCAATATATATGCATGCGAAGTATGCTTGTCCATATAGCGAACAAATTGTCAGGTCTGTCCGCACACCATCTATCTGGCCCTGTCGCGATGCATTCTCGTTGCCGTTCCGACGAGAGATTCGCGATGCCGCCCAGTGCGCTACTCGATCGCTTTGCTACAAATGTCCATATCTCGTCAACTAGTCAAACGCGACGCGGCGCCGATGACGCGTTGATTGTTGAATGTTTTTTACGACGGCCCTCATTTCGCCGTTTGTCAACTATTCTGTTCGTTTCGATCGACGATCGCGAGCATTAGTTCGACGTTGCGGCAAATTCTATCGTCCGTTCAGCGAGATGTGCTGATTCTCGATGTCGTGACGCAATCGCTCGTTCACCAAAGAAGATTGTACTTTTCCGCAAATACTTGAGCGAAAACGTCGTGAATGCGCGACAAACGTCAGCCCTCGTTGCCGATCCAGGTAACAGGTGCCGTCGTAACGCGCAGTGCAGAAATTACGCGAGCTCTAGCACGTCGCGAGACCGCAAACAGTTCGCTGAGAGATCTCGAGCTCAGTCCGGACTAAACTATTCGTGTCGCACCGTTGGCCCACGGCTTTATCTCGACCCGGGACTTTCGTCCGCGATCGCCCTCTATGCGCCGAAATCGAACGCGACCTCCAACACTCTGTGTACGCGCTGTACAGACGTTCGTAAGCGGTACATTAAGCAGGCCACACCACCGTACCAATTTTATTGCGCCAATAAGCGTTCCGTTGCGGAACAACCCCGCACCAAATAGTTTCCAACGAGAATCGTTCAAACGCACGCGGGGGTCGCAGTAGCAAACGAGAAACAGGCACCCCATTTCCGAAAAACGCCACATTTTGCGAGAAGAAGGGGCTCTCATACCCAACGTGTAGCATAGAGCAAGAAACGCCGTGCCGCGGAGCGAAGAGAGAATCCCGATGTCTATACAGGCTACAGAAAATCCACACTTCCATCTCTCGAATCATCTGAATAACTTATATTTTAAGACTAATAAGAAAGAATAATAGCGAATTCGATTGGTGAAGCACTAGGTGCGCATGCAGTACACATGATCGCGTTTTTATCATTGGCAAAATGAGTGGCAGGTCAATTCGCGGCACTAGTCGTGGACGAAGTGTTTTCATTGGGAATTTCAGTGCACATTAAAATCATGCGTCGTGTTTCATTGGAAAATGTAGTGTCGAGTTTTTTGCACTTTCGTGCACAAATTCGGCACGAGCTCGGAGAGATGGTGTCGGTTGAGTGCAAAACATGGCGGCGCAGAACAGAGATGTTTTGAATGAACAAACGTATGTGATAATTTCGGATTTCCTTTCATCTTCATCCAGCAGTGATGAAGATGAGTATTTTCTTCGAAATCCGAGGCGAATTGTTCCTAAAATGAAAAACTTTTTGCAAATAGTAATCAATATTCGATCACGACGTAAGTTTATTGTTATAATTTAGCTTGTGAAATAAAAGTAGAAAGTAATTTTATTTTTGTTGTAGTTCAAATCCCAGTTTCGAGGGCAACAGCATATGATATTATAAATAATTTCGAAAATTCGACGTTCTATTCTGGTGATACAAGCCACGGAGGTATTAAACGTCCTCTGCTGAATCACACGTTTTATCTTTTTTGTGGTAAGTTTTACATATACATGTATAGTTTTTAATTCATCCACCACTCATATTATATATATATATATATAATTATTAAAAAGATTTCAAAAAATATTACTTTGTATAGGTTTGCAGGAAATAAAGTGTGCTTAAGAGATGTTGCACAAAGATTTGGAGTATGCGCTACAACGATTTTTCGACAAAATAAAAAATGATGGATTTTCTATGCGATATAGCTGAAACGTCATCAAATTTTCTGACAAAGAAAATACTGCAAACGAATTCCTTCAAGTATGTATATTTAATTAATGTATTTTAATGAAGCTAAGCTAGCAGCCGATTCATAGCTGAATTATGAAAGCAGTAGTTTTTAATTATTATTTAATAAATGTCAATTTCTTGTTAATTAATTATTTAATGCTAAAAAATTTTTTCTATTATTCTTTAGTTCTAAACAGTGCTTATGCGAATTTGCTACTAGTTTCAGCTTTATTGTATTTTATGTATGTTTTTCTAATGAGTTATTTAATGTATATGTATATAAAATTGAAGATTGCAGGATTTCCGAAAGTTCTTGGCTGTATTGATGGGACTTTCATTAAAGTCCGAACGCCAGCCCACAAAATAAAATCGACATATGTAAATAGACATGACATCCCTTCGATAACATTGCAGGGCATATGTGATGCTCGAAAGAGATTTATAGATACATTTACAGGAATCCCGTCGAAAATTCACGATGCGCCGCGTACTCAAATTATCAGATATATGCGACGAGTTGCTAGGAATATGTGAAGGCGGAAAATATCACATCCTAGGCGATGGAGCGTATCCAATAAGAAAATGGCTTATTATACCATTTAAAGACTACGGAAATCTGTCTGCAAAGGATAAACAATTTAATAAAAATGCTGTCTGCGACTCGAGTATTGATCTAGAATGCGTTTGGGACTGTTGAAAGGTCGTTTTCGACAATTAATCGAAGTAGATCTACATACTGTTGAATAAAATATCAAAATTTATTACATCATGTTGCGTTTTGCATAACTTATGCATAGACAACAACGATAACTTTGATGTCGATATTGTTATAGAAAACAATGAAGATTATAATAATGAAGGCAAAGGTCAACAAGAAGCTCTATTACGAAGATTAGGGGAAGTAAAAAGAAACCAATTGATGAATGTACTTTTTCCATGAAATAAAAATCAATACAATATGAAATTATCAAACGTTTATTTGTCCTGTGGCAAATAAGTACATACTTTCCAATAAAAAACAAAACGTATAAAAACAAAGCATATTTTTTTTTATAACACGTACATATTGATTATTTTTTCAAAATTCATATATTATATCTCTTATTTATTTCATAAACATGTAATTTTTTAACATACACGCTTTTTCAAAAAGTTTGATTGTAAAATTAAATAACACTGTTTTAAAATTAAATAACACAATAAGTTTACTTTATACTGGTTCATACTTAATAGTCTGAGCAGTACTATAATCTTTCGTAAAGTGCGAAAATCAAAATATGCATACGCTAATATTAAAAACCAGTAATATTAAAAACAAAGACATACATTAGTAAACGTACAAAATTATAAGAGAAAAAAAAAATAATTAAAATTATATATCACATCCAACGTTTTAGTTAGGAACTTTCATATTAACATATGGTTCAGGCTGATTTTACATTAGTCTTTCTTTGGTTTTTTTTAATACTTGCTTGTTTCTGTATCACCTTACTTTAGTTCCCGCTACTTTTGTTTGGCGAACAACTCCCGTATTAAATTCAACTTTTCTTGGTGACGTCTTTCTTTTGCCCGCTTCTTTATTTTTCCAGTATTCCATCCTTTTATCAATATCACTTGGTTTCGATTTTTTTGTCTTCGGTGGTGAGCTATCAGTAGAATGTGTAGAGGCACTATCATTGCAGATTTCTTCCGACATTCTTGTATTCAATTTAGGATATTTAACGCTCCTTGCATTTCGCAACACCTCGGCTCAATACTATCGTCCGAATGAGCAATTTTACGCAATTCTTCTTCGAATGGTACATCCTCTCTAGAGCTGCCTGATTTAGAGTTGTTCTCAACTGCTTTTTTTTTTCCTTTTGAGAACGGTTTATACCGATTTTCAACTTGAAGAGGAGTTTTTAATACGTCCAACATCGTCAGCATATCTTTTGAAATTTGCGCCCACATCAATTTTTTAGTTTTGAATTTTTTCATGGGACCAATATCCGACATATATGTTTCATATTTATCGAGAAGAAACGGTGTTCCTGAATTGCTCCAGTAATCTGAAAATCACGTTGTTTAATGATTAATACAATAGTCTACATTATAGCACCAGTAAACCTATTAGTAGGTATTACAATAATGTAAAAATTTTGTGAAGTCAAAGATTTTAAAAAATCTTTTATATTTTATATTACATTTTCATATTATATTTATTTCATTTATATTATATTTATATATATTCTATTATACATATATATTGTATGTATTTTATTTGTTAATAATATATTTAGATTATATTTATTAACGTATCATTCTTCGTTTCGTATCGTATTAATTTTCTGCTCGAATATAACAAATACCATATTTTATAGTACATTATCATAGTGCTATGAATAGTCGTAAATGCTTTATTAAAACAGATTTACCGCTACTCTTCTTTCCTTTTTTATCGTACTCCTGCGATTGTGATTCATTCTGATCATACTCCTGTGATTCAAAGGATTCAAACATGAGTGCTTCATTTTCTTTATTATACTCCGATAGCTGATCTTCATTGCTGCGATTATCACCATGACTATTCGCGTGGAATATCAATTGTTCTCTGTAATACAAAATATATTGACATTTTACACTGCCATATACAGGGTGAGTAAGGATCCTCTGCAACAAACTTAGACAGATTGTTTGGAAAGTCATTCTGATTAAAAAATGTCATATGAACATAGATCCTATTCTTAATATTTACAGACCTCAAATGTTCGACAGAATTTGACAATCACTGCTACGATGGTGTAATAAAAGTAATCAGATTCAGAATAAACACTTTGAACAACTCCTGTAAACTGTCCGCAAGGATACTTGAAGAAATAAATGCATAATTCATTTCATAACTGTACATGTCACCTAAATTTTACAACTTCTGCAACTATGTAAATATTAAGAATAGGACCTGTGTTCATATAACATTTTTTACTTAGAATGACCTTCCAAACAAGTTGTCAAAGTTCGTTGCAGAGGTCCTCTGACTTACCCTTTATTTTTTTTTTTTTTTTTTCTGTTGTGTACATTTGAATTCTGTAGAACTTTGATTCTTTGAAGAAATAATGAAAAACAAGATTGCTTGGAATTAATATATGTATGTAAGAAACTGAAGAGTTCCTGTTTACCCTAAAGTAAACTTACTTATTTTTTTAAAGTAAACTTGTAAAATAAAATGGTAATTATATTTTATAAAATAAACTTTGCTCTTAACTTCTTAATGTGCTTTTTCGGAAGATTTTGATAGCTTGCAATTAATACATCTCAAAAAAATTTTACTTACTCATCTTCAATCACTCGAGATATTTCTTCAATTTTCTGATTTTCGCTTCCATGTAGAACACACAATCCATTTTTAATCACAAGTTTTATATATTGTATGCTGTAGGTATCGTCATCTGAAATTAATTGACACAAGAATCAATAATATTCAGTTAATATTCTTTTATGTATATATTTTTGAATATCAAATGAATTGTGTTTTACAAGCTTTACAAGGGGTTATATATGCATTCAAGTTTTTCGAGTAGACAATATCCAAAAACTATTATGTACATAAGTACATATGTCTTTGCCGACAATTTATTTATATTACGGAAATAACCTCAAAATCCAAAATCATGCAAGTCCTATATAATTCTATACTTACTCATTAATTTATTATATAACTCTGTTTCACTTGATAGAAGTTTTAACGAGAGCATGTCATTATTGACTTTGAAAGAAATGCTTAATTCTTCTGATTGTTCCATAGTGAAGTTTACCTTAATGCATATATTTTCTTTCAATCCGAGGCGAATCGGTTCTTATGCGCACTCATCAAGTCATGAGTGTTTCATTGGGCGTGCAAAAAAACTTGCACTGTCGGTAAACTCGGGTAGTGTCGCCTAAATTCCACGAGTTCCTAATGCGCACTCAGTGCATCCCAATGAAAAACGCTATGAGTGTGCACCGAGTGCACCCCCTTTCAACTTTTAGTATTCGGTTGTCTTGCATTCCAGTAGTTCAAAATCTACATGTTCGGTTGACAGTACAGAGAGAAGCCTGAGAACAGTAGTAGTAGTAGCAGAGAGGAACCTGAGAGCGGCCAACACGGCGTTTTCGGCGACACCGATTTTTCGCACTGGGAATGGGCGCTATCTGCATCCATTTTGAGAGGGGAACTACGATGCTACATCCACTTTTAGGTCTCGACGGTAAAACCTGTATCTGGTGGCTGTCCGTATTACATCCACTTTCAGGCGGTTTATGTCCGTGCTACAACTATAATAGCGTACTTGACAAGCACGGTCTCGCGCATTGTTATGCATTTGCACATGAATTAACATGTTAACATGCACAAAAAAAATAAGAATTGAGATTGTATATGATTAATATCATGAAGATTATATACGATTTATATCGATATATAAATATATGATAATAAGATAATATTTTGTGTGTACCCAAAATTATTTTTCCAAAATTTTTCCAAAATATTTCAGCGTTACGTTAGTATTTATTTATACTCCGGCAGGCGTTTTTAGCGCAGTTGTGTCCGTGTGCATGTGTTGCATTGAAAGTGTGCGTGACGTACGTGTGAATACACACACACACACACACGCGCGCGCGCGCACGCACACGCACGCACACACACATACACGTGTCAAACGCAACAGATAGAATCTCAGGGTATATGCTTAAACATTTTTAATTGCCGTACGTTTCTGTGTAAGAATGTAGTCGGCACACACATACAGAGAAACTGCTCCTGTCTATCCGTCTGAGGTCCCGCTCTCCGCTCGGCTTGTTTTGACGAGCCAAGCGAAAGAGAGAGAGAGAGGGAGAGGGAGAGGGAGAGCGAGAGGGAGAGGGAGAGCGAGAGGGAGAGGGAGAGCGAGAGGGAGAGGGAGAGCGAGAGGGAGAGGGAGAGGGAGAGGGAGAGGGAGAGGGAGAGGGAGAGGGAGAGGGAGAGGGAGAGAGAGAGAGAGAGAGAGAGAGAGAGAGAGAGAGAGAGAGAGAGAGAGAGAGAGAGAGAGAGAGAGAGAGAGAGAGAGAGAAAGAGAGAGAGAGAGAGGGAATGTGTTCGCTCCACCTCGCTCTGATTCGCAACGTTGCCGAGATTGTGCTTCCTGACACACGGCCGAGATTGACGTTTCACTCTCGGCGTGAATCCAACGAGATGATTAACAGCAATCGACTTCGACCAAACTCGTTGTGTCGATAGATTTGCATGACAAATTAGCATTGCACTTAAAGATACGGCGTAACATTGAAGCGTTTGGAAGAAAGTCGCGATTGAAAATCACGACTGCTACATCAACCAAATGAAGGAGCAAGTATCTCAAAGAGCGTATGGCTTGGTGTAAGTTCGCTAGACTCGCGGGCTTGAGGGCGGGCTTGAGGGCGGGCTTGAGGGCGGTGGTTCGTATCTCTTTGGCGCTCGGCGTTGTCACTTTTCGCCAATCTTTTTTTTTTCGTTTTTTAGGAAAATGCACGTGTTGCATACAACATACGTGTATCACAATAAATTGTTTTTCATTTTTTAAGAAAATGCACGTGTTGCATACAACACACGGGCATCGCAAGCATTGCACGTTTCGTCGATGACACTTCGTCTGAGACCCCGCCCTCCGCTCGACTTGTTTCGACGAGCCAAGCGAAAGAGAGACAGAGAGAGAGAGAGAGAGAGAGAGAGAGAGAGAGAGAGGGAATGTGTTCGCTCTATCTTGCTCTGTCTCGACACGCAGCCGAGGCTGATGTTTGTCTTTCGGCGTGGATTCGACGAGGGGACGACCAATAGCAATCGATTTCGACTCGGTGCGTCGATAGACTTGCATGAATTAACATTGCATGTACACTCAAACGCAAAAAACCCGGTACACTAAAAATTTGGGAAAAAATTACAAAATTTCAAATGATCATAATTTGGTAAATAATGAAGATACAAATATGCGCAGAAATGCAAAATGAAGCTTGAAACGTCCTCTTTAAGAATATCTGAATGGCAATTATGCTCGGCCATTTTTTTCAAAATGGCGGATGATAAAGTGAGAGGATGCAAAATTGATAATCAAAAAGTCCGTGTTTGCGATGGTGCATGGTGTGCATCAGTTATCGCAGCGTAATGGGACCAAATGCACATGAAAGTATAGTGTTATCTTTAAAATGCTACTTTACCGAGCTCGATGTGATCATTTTTCACTGAGTTGTTCCAAATTTTGCTAAAAATGCGGTTTTCTTGTTAAATTTGCATAATTCAGTGAATAAGTATCGCATCAAGCTCTATAACGAAGTATTTTAAAGAAAACATTCTATACTTTTAGGTACTTTTCGTCCCATTGAGCTGCGACACTTACTTTGCTCCATGCGCCGTCGCACGCTCGAACCTTTTTTTAGCAACTTTTCATGTTCTCCTTTTTATCACTCGCCATTTTGAAAAAATATCGTTGCGCACAATTTCGATAGATCTTTCGAAAAGTACAGTTTCAAAGCTTTCAAATCGTTTTTGAAATTTGCTGCTAGGATATTTAGGTGTCGAGATATTCAATTTCGTTGCCCCTCGCCGCGCGCGCTTGCCTACACCGCAACTGGCTGACTCCGCCTGTATCAAATGTCTACGTGCTTACTGCGGCCGCCCTCCGCTCTCTACGCGCTCGTTGGCTCACACGTTTTAATTAATAACTCGATAACTATTGCCAATTTGACATTATGGTACATGACTTTTCTTCTCGGCTACACCCAATCTATCTCCAACTTTCGTCATGATCAGCTATCAAACACCCTGTATATACGAGGGTGTCCGATAAGTACTTAGCCTACAAAAGAAAAACGAAAATTTTGGAAAAGTGGCGATTTATTTCTCAACATAGTCTCCTTTTAGCTCGATACACTTGACCCAGCGATGCTCCAACTTCTTTAACCCGTCTGAAAAATACGTTTTCTTGAGGTCTGCAAAGTAGACCTCCGTGGCGGCGATGACCTCCTCATTCGACTCAAATTTCTGCCCGGCGATTGACTTTTTAAAGTTTGGAAACAAAAAGAAGTCGCACGGGGCCAAATCTGGAAAATATGGTGGATGGGGCAGCAGTTCGTAGCCCAATTCGACCAATTTGACCGTGGCGAGGGCGGAGGTGTGAGCCGGTGCGTTGTCATGGTGGAAGAGCACTTTTTTCTTCGCCAAATGGGGCCGTTTTTTCTGCAATTCAGCGTCGAATCGGCCCAATAATTCGGCATAGTACAGCCTTGTGACCGTTTTGCCCTTCTCCAGGTAGTCGATGTAGATCACACCTTGTGAATCCCAGAAAACGGTGGCCACCTTTCCGGCCGATAGGGCAGTCTTCGCCTTCTTCGGAGCACGTTCGCTGGGTGAAGTCCACTGTTTCGACTGTTCCTTGGTCTCTGATGTGTACCAGTGGATCCATGTTTCGTCGACGGTCATGAAACGACGCAGAAACTTCTTCGGATTGCGCTTAAACAGCGTCAAGCACTGCTCTGAAGTGGTCTCACGGTTGCGCTTGTTGTCCGGAGTGAGCAAACGCGGCACCCATCGCGCCGACAGCTTTCTCATGCCCAAAATTTCATGCAGGATATGACCCACGCGGTCTTTTGAGATGCCTACTGTCTCAGCTATCTCGCGCACCTTCAATCGGCGGTCTGCCAATACGAGATCGTGGATTTTTGTCATGTTATCCTCCGTGGTAGCCGTTTTCGGGGCACCTGGGCGTGGCTCATCAAAAACCGACGTGCGACCACGTTGAAACTCGTTAAAGCAATTTTTGACGGTCGCCATCGAAGGAGAAGAGTCACCGTACACAGCATCCAAGCGCTCTTTGATTTCGCTGCGCGATTTCCCTTCCAAAAACAAGAATCGAATCACCGACCGATATTGCTCTTTTTCCATTTTTCTAAAATCCGCGGACACGCCCGCTTCCACACGCGGTCAAAACAAAACTACGAGTCCGATTCGGCTGATATTTTGACAGTAGCCGTCTACGAGAATGTACTACACGATAGTAAATTTCTCTTGCGATAGTGGCGCCATCGGGCGGTGAGGCTAAGTACTTATCGGATCTCCCTCGTATATGTATTAAACACATAAACATATATATTTTAAAGTGGTTATTAAACGAGGAAACAATTTTAATGATAATATGACGCACCAGCTGATTTCTTATACAGCGAAGGGCCTGAGCGCATCGCGATCGTCGCTCTAGCCGCTGAGCGCGGAGCGGTGCGAGGGGGACGGTAGGCGTCACCTATTGAATTTCGCCCGAAATGTGCAGATTGTGGCCAGCTCTGCTTTATATAATTATACTTATTTCTTTTAGCATAAATAAAAATGATCAATGCTAACATGATAAGTGTATATCGCAATTGCACGTGTACGTGTACACATACACACACACGTACATACACACGTATACCAATGATGTCAAAACCGAACAATTCGTGAAAATTTTTTATTGATCGCAATTGTACGCAAAGACGAAAGACAACGGGTCGTCGCGGGTATCTCGTCATATTAATTGTCTATGAGCTGATAAACAATTGATCTCCGGTATTTACAAGTTACGCTTGTCCGCAGTTTGTTCAGTTTTGACATCATTGGTATCAGTGATGCGAATTTGGTGACGGGCATGCACGAGGATTCTCCCCCCTCCTCCCCTTCATGCACGCACACAGCCAGCTCGGTCAATCCGTGTGAGCCACGCGATCGGCAATTGTCGACGCGCCGAGCGAGAGAGAGAGAGAGAGAGAGAGAGAGAGAGAGAGAGAGAGAGAGAGAGAGAGAGAGAGAGAGAGAGAGAGAGGCGAGAGAGAGAGAGAGAGAGAGGCGAGAGAGAGAGAGAGAGAGAGAGAGAGGCGAGAGAGAGAGAGAGAGGGGGGGGGGCGAGAGAGAGAGAGAGAGAGGAGAGAGAGAGAGAGAGAGAGAGAGAGAGAGAGAGAGAGAGAGAGAGAGAGAGAGAGAGAGGAGAGAGAGGAGAGAGGAGGGGGGGAGAGAGAGAGGGGGGGGGGGGAGAGAGAGAGAGAGAGGAGGAGAGAGAGAGAGAGAGAGAGAGAGAGAGAGAGAGAGAGGAG